GGGGGTTCTTTTCATGATATATTGTTGGCTCTGAATACAAGCCGTTTTTTATGTGCCAGATAATTTTTTCAAAAATCTTATCTTTGACTGAAATTTAAACTTAAATGTTCAACCTTATGAATCATTTGTTTTGGGGGATTTTTTTTAAAGAATAAGCACAAATAAGCAGGAAATGTTTTCCTTTTTTGTTCATAAAGCTCACTGGGATAAAAAATATGGTCAGCTGCCCATGTGAAGTAACATTATATCTTTGAAGTATCGTTTTGTTATTTCTATTGTATAAAGTTCATACGCATTGCCCTTGCTTCTCTGTTCTGTGATATGGAAATCAATTGCTTTTTTCTCGCTAGCTTTAGCTTCGCTGTGTTCATGGTTAGTTTTTCCTTCCTCTGTTTTCTACTTGCTTTCGAAAGGCTCATACACATCACAGTCATTTTCCTTTGTGGCTATGGACTTCATTGTCCCTTGTGGGCTAGAAACAAGTTTCATGTAAAGTACAATGTATTCATTCAAATGAAGTTGTGGAGCTCTTAGCTGTATACTTTTGTTCAAAGCAAAAATTGCCAAGCTTGTTCCGGTTTTATTTTGAAGAAGAAACTGAAAAGATTTTTTGTGTTCTCTATTTTTTGTTAAAGCATTTTCTTCTTTCTTTTTTTTTTTTACATTTTCTACTTTCTTTTCATTTGATTGAAAGCTAGTAATGTAGCCTTCAGCTCTTTCTTTTTTTTTTTTTCTTTTTTTTTTTTTTTAAGAGATATGAATACACAGAGATTTCTTTTTTAGGGAAGAGCAGCAAAAGTTGCAACATGACAGGTTGCCCTACAGCTAACTTTTGTTTGCCCTAGAAGCTACTTACACAAAGTTATTTTTGCATATTTTTTAACAATTGTTTTTTAATGGGTTTTTATGGGGGATAGGGGGAGGGGAATTGTTGCTTTTTTGTGGGGGAGGGTGGGGGATGTTTCTTCTGTACTTTCTGTAGTAAGTTAAAAGCACATCGATACTCTCCAAGCAGCATTGGTGTAGGACATTCCATTTCTCTACACTCTGTACCATTGTAGTAAGCTATGTAGGATTCATGTCAGTTAAATAACCATCTTATCATTATTTTTGTTTTGTATAGCCATCAACCAGTGTTGCCAATTTGCCTGATAGTTTTGTCAGTGTGGTTTGTTACAGCTACAGGCCCTCTCTCTCTCAAGCATACTTTCTGACTTGAGAGCAGTTACTTGGTTTTGAATGTTTGAAACGTCATTTGTACTTCTTTTGTTTTTAGGGCATTTTTTCCTGGTGGTTTACTTTCTAAGGTCTATGGGTTGTTTGAAGGGAAGGTGGGGGGGGAGAAGAGAAAATAGAGCAGAGTGGGATGGGGGGGGGGGGGAGAGAGAAAAAGTGAGGTATATTCTTGTACTGAATATTTCATCAGCTATCCTTTTTATATGAAGCTGGGCCCCCCACGCGAATGTTTTAAGACTCCTTATTTTTATGTTACTTGTTTATATTTTTAGTTCTTGACGTCATTTTGGGCCCTTGACCAAATGCAACATGTGTGTGGTGGTTGTATTCAGCATTGTAGTTAGTGCTGTGTGAATGTGTAGCTGAAAGAGAAGAAGTGTGCCCTCTGTTGTTATATTCAGACTATTGTAGTTAATGACTCATTAATACATTATAAAAATCTTGCATAAATAAAATGTGACTAATTAACAATCTATTGGCTTTCTTCTTTTCTGTGTTCATGTAATATTTAATTGTGAGTGATTGACAGGTTTCACGG